ACACATGGAACAGGCGGGCAGTCTTAGCCTCGCCTGCAGCACTAGGGAGCCTACACTCGTGCTCCTTCAAATGGAGCGTGGCCCCAACTGCCTCTCCCCAATCCATTCCCGGCACAATATCAAACGGGAGGCTATCCTCTACGAGGAGAGTCAGGGAGTGGAGGACCTTCTCCACCTTCCCATCTTTCTCTAGGCGAAAATACGCGTGGACTCCCTTTACGTAATCCTCTACAACCATGGTACGATCGTCTGCGAGGATACTAACTATGGGGTCTGTCAGTTTCTGGACTTTAAGTCCCAGCCTCAACTTCTGCAGCGCTTTCTTACTAATATAGCTGCGGGTGGCCCCTGAGTCTACTAGGGCCCCTACTCTACTTCTAAAAATCTCGGCATCTAATAAAATCAGCTGCCCTTTATTCTCCTTCTTCATCTTGGCCCAGGCGGGCCTCCTCTCCTTCAACTCTTCGACCACGCCTGTGAGGGAGGTGTCTAGAGAGACTCTAACATAAGCAGTCTTTGGACAACTATCTAGACACCGGCCTGCAACCTCTGCCATGCCATAGGCACATGTGGTGTGGGAGACTCCTGCCGGCTAGCGCTACATTCCCCACATGGCCTAGTGGTAGGGGCAGTTGCTACCCCTACCGGCGGCTGCCTTTTGGCCCTGGGGCAGCCGTTTGGGTCTCTCTATACTTAGGACAATATTTGATGATATGGCCCGGGTCATCGCAGAAAATGCACTGGCCCTGGTCCAATCGTTGTTGCCATAAAGTCTGGTCCAGACCCAAAGATTCCCAAGGCCTACCCTGCGGTAGCCTTGGGTGCCATCCTCCTACCCTGTAGGAAGACCTATTCCTAGGACGGTTTTGCGGGGGACCTTGACCCCGGCCTCCCGCTTGGCGGCTTCTTCCTCTACCGCCAACCCCCTGATCGCCCTGGAACCGGCTCCCTGAGGCCCGGCCCCCTTGGCCCTGGCCTCGTCCTCCTTGCGGCCTCCCTCCAGCCGCGACAGCAGCGTAAGTCCTCCCCTGGCCCACACCGCTGTCATCCTCCTCTAACCCCCACTCAATCTGATCGTAGGGGATCTCGTCCACACTACCCTCGTCTAGAGTTAGGACAAGGCTATCCTTAGTCTTCACTTGCCCAGAGATAGTGCGGCCCTTTCATTGCTTTCCCTTATCCAAGTCTTTGTGCCAGAAGGTGGACACAGACGCAGACTTGGCTTCAAAAGCCACCACTTCGCGACTAAGAGAATCGTACGTAGTGGCAGGGTCTTCGCTCTTTGCGAAGAAATGCCCTCGAAGGGCTTCGGGTATGGCCCGGTAAAAGAGGCCGACCAACTGGGTGTCCGTAACCCCATGGTCAGAGACAGCCACTAACTCATCCATTATACTCTTGAGTGCCCTGGCACTCTTCCACTTGCGGGCGTGGATCGTCTGCAGCCTATCTGACGCCTTAACACTACGAGCGACATCAGCAAATCGCTCGCGTAGCAATTTAAGGAACTCAACGAGAGGGGTGAATGTGGAGTATGATTCCGGATCGTCACTGCAGTTGGCAACACGAACAAGGGACCTTGCAAAACTCGCGGCCTCATCCTTAAGCGCGTGGATCGCAATTAGGACCTGCTGATCCGGGGAGACCTGTTGCAGATGCACATAGGTCCTGACATTGGCCTTCCAATTGTCAAAGTTCTCTTCCCTTTTTCCACTGTAGGAATCAGGGAATTTGACTTTGACTGGCTCCCTGCGAGGACGAGTTTCCTCCTCTTTGGGAGCTGCCACCTTGACGCCCTCAATGGCGCCGACACAAAAACGCTCAGTCTTCTCGAGGCGATGACTCACCTCGGACCCTACAGCGCCTACTAACTCGCGAGCAAAGTCCCGTAATCCCGTTCGCATCGAACGCATCGATATTTCCTGGCTGCGACTAAACTCATAGTGCTTTTCTTGCACTTTGGCTAAACGCTCGACGCTCTGGGCAATGATCTCCACCTTCCGCTAGAGATCTACCTAGGGTGTCAATTGTAACCTCAATTTCTGCACCTCCTCCAATTCCTGTATTGCTGCATTCGCCACCTCCACTCGTCTCTTCTTCTCCCTCATCATTGTGAGCTTCCACGCTATCCTCTGTCCATCTTCCATCGCCCGCCGCGTCAAAACATCTTCCTCTGCTTCCCATTTTTTCATGGCGGCTTCCTGCTCATCCTTGGGGATGTACATAGCAACCTCTTCCTCTTCACCCTGGGACAAGTTGGCGACCCATTCTGAAATCCGCTTCTCCATTTCTTCATCCTTGCTGCCACTGTTCTGCCCACTCTTCCTTTGTAGTGGCGGCCCTTCTTCTTCTTCCTCGTCCACCTCTTTCAACTTCGCCTCCTCTTCCTTCTTTATCCTCTCCTTCTCTCTGGCCATCTCTTCTTCTATCTTCTTCAATTTGGCCGCCTGCTCCTCCTTCAAGGCCTTCTTCTTGGCCTCCTTCTTCTCCTTCCTCTCCTGCAAAATGACGGCCATCTTATCCTCCTCCTCCTTCGTGTAGGGGCTGGTGGAAGTACCACCACGATTGGGCCCTACTCTACACGTGAAAGTGGGCCAAAAGCCCAGAGGAAAGAGGAGACGCCAGAGGGTACCCCAGAGAGAGAACCCAACCAGCAACCCATAGTCGTCGATTGTGGCGTCAGGTGCACGACAGCGTCCCACTCCTCACCACTTAGACCTACCCGGACACACTGACCTACTGACTAACTCTCTAAGACCCACTACTCACAACTACTCTAAGGCTGTCACTAATGAACCCAAAGCTGATCAGGAGGCATTTAAGGAGATCCCCCAAACTCCGCAAGAATTCTTTAACGTCGCAGACAGGACGACGTGATCAGCTTGGTTCCTCTGGCGATTTCAGCCCACAACTCAGCCGTTCCAGCCTACTATGCCACACCGAGCAGCCCGCCGGTCTGTACCGGTCCTTGGAGGGGTTCGTATCCCTCGTGACAGTCGAGTCGTCAGACACAGATCATCAGCTGTAGTAGGTCCGGTAGGGGAGTGGCTCAACCAGGCCTCAACACTTAAAGACGACCCTCGTTTCARCCTACRGCTCGGMGTTCRGACSCTCYAYACTGAACTCAGTAGACCTGYCGGACSGTACCRGTCATTGGGCTAGACGAGTTGTTTAACGAGYGCTYGCCGCTCATGCCCAGGTCTCCARRTGCCAGMGTAGAGCTTTRGTCCTACTAAGCCCGTGCAGGTTTGGCAGCAAGGCCCTATCCTTCATCCACAGAGTCCTAACACCTAGGACAAAAGAGACTCAATGCAGAAAGAGACACAGACAGACTCAGCAAGTACCGTGGGGTAAGTGCACATCCACAGGGTAAGGGGATAGGCTGTAAGGCAACGAGATATCACCAACTCCAGCTTGGTCAAAATCTTGGTCGGCAGCTCCGATCAACGCCTTGGTCAACGCTTGGTCAATCACCCTGGTCACCACCTGGTCAACCCTCTGGTCAACCCTTGGTCAACCCTCTGGTCAACGCCCTGGTCAACCCTTCACCTCGGCTATGGCTGCCGGCACCTTCACCTTCGTCACCCTCGCCGTCTACTTCCCCGTCCTTCACTTTCTTTCTCTTCACTTTCAAACGCTCGATCTCATTCCAGAGTTCAGGTTGATGGCTCCTTTCCAACCCCAGTACCAAACAAACAAACAAACAAACAAACAAACAAACAAACAAACAAACAAACAAACAAACAACCAAACAACCAAAGAAGCAAAGAAGCAAACAAGCAAACAAACAAACAAACAAACAAACAAACAAACAAACAAACAAAACACACAAGCCCCTCTTCTGCAACCACTGGCTGAAAGACCCCTCCGATAAACCATGGACCCTGATGACCGTGACACAGGATACCCACTTGATTACGTCGCTGTAACAGGGTGTCTGGCAGATTCAACACATCTGGAACCACCACTGCAATCGCTGGAAGACAACCGCAGAACTCAGAGTATCTCTCAAAGGTTGCCCCGATTTGGAGGTGAACCGGCCACAGGCGCTATTACAATGCATACCACCGGACTGGGTGGCACTCTTACCGCCTGGACATCCGGGGAGTGGCCTACGTGGCAGTCAGAAAACAACCCCACAGAGGCATTGCCGTACGCGAAGTCAACACGACGACCGGCAGGGGACTGGGGACTGTGGACCATCCACGACATCGAACAGCCAGGGAACAGCATCAGCAGGGTCTCAAAAAAAGACAGTACGCGCCAGAGTCTCCGCCAAACCGTCTCTCCGTGGGAAAATCAGATTACCCTGGTGGAGGACGACGACTACAGAACTTACCTGCCAGGAACAGCATTACAGGATTTTGGGGTTTGGCCCGGGCGAGTGGGCATGGAGAACAAGATCCAAGCCAATGGAGCCACAGAAACGCACCAACATCCTAGACTACTCGACCAGCTTCGGCTATAAACTCAGACGAAAACCGATAAACAAAGAGCTCATCTTGTCCCAGCGATGGGAGAAACACATCGCGGGATGCCTGGGCAACACAGAATGGAAGATCGATTGGCAGGTCTCCCTCGCCATCAGAAACACCCGCATAAGAAGAGCACGCAATGGCTTATAACTACTATCAGGCCTTGCCGGACAACACACGGCTCAGCAGGAGAAGGTCAGAAACAGCTAGAAGAGACTTTGATGAGAGCTGCGCAGTCTGCGATGATAGATCCCTCGAGGATGTTGCCGCACTGTCTAATAAACTGCCCAAATGCACATTATCAAAGGATTTGGATCAGAACGCGGGAGTACTGGACGGCGCTGCCGGTAGTCGGCACATCGCTGCCAGACAACCTGCTGACACTCCTAACGGGTCTGGCGCAGCCGCATTTCAGAGAAGTCTGGCATTCAACCCTCGTCAGAAGACTTCGCCCCGTTTCGTTGTGGATCATATGGAAGACACGATGCAAACAAACGATAGCCGGCCAAAATAAATCACCCTGGGGAGGAGGCCTGGGAGCATGTTCTACAACTGCTAACACACAGAATACCAGGCGGATTGGCACCGAGCAACCAAGAATATCAAGGACGGACGACCCTACAAAAAAGCAAATAATCATATGATAGACAAATTCATCAAGGACAGACTCGGAATGGGCAAACTCGGCACTGTGCAGGGTGATCCCCCGAGAGTCCGAGACTGATATGGAAACGACGGCGGGAAGAACAGCAAGGGAGGGACTGGACAAGGGACCTTGACTCTTTAGAAACGGCGCGATCACAGAACAACTTAGCGGACATAAAAACTCAGCATAGTACGATCAGAAGAGCAGGAGTTTAAGAAAATAGGGAGCTGGTCTCAAGAACACAGGGGACAGTAGGGTTTAGGGTTTAAGGAGAGCGGTAGCATATGCGCCTCAGGATTCGATTGCCTTCCTCAATAGCAAAAAGATGCCTGGTGTTGTCGAAGCTAAAAGCATCTTTGGCGGATGATAGCAGTTTTTGGCCGGTCTCTAATTTCCCCTCTTTTGGAAAATTGCAGCATTGGTAGCCTAAGTCTACATAGTCCCCTCTTTCGGCCAGGATAGGCAGGCTGAGATAGTGAAGCATGGGACAGTGGATCATTCCGGGTTGAGATGTGGAGAGACTCCCGGCCTCCTTTTG